CAAACTAATAATATAAATCCAAGACTCCATAAGATGTTAGAGCTGGCTCTAAGTGCGTAACAGAGTCAACACAGCTCTGTCGTTCCAGGTTGAGCTTTCCTTACTGGGGCCCGCGATTCGAACCCCCTTTAAGGCTTAGAGGTAGAGTCATTTTGGGAGATGTACTGACGAATGGGTAGACAGACGAGAGATATAGAGCAAGTCTTTGTTGAAAGGACGTTACGCTCTGTGCAGAGCTTAGCCAAAGCATGACATGATAAAGCTCTACACAGAGTGAAACATGACATGATAAAGCTCTACACAGAGTGAAACATGACATGATAAAGCTCTATACAGAGCGAAACATGCCGTGATAAAGCTCTACACAGAGCGAAACATGACATGATAAAGCTCTATATAGAGTGAAACATGACATGATAAAGCTCTACACAGAGTGAAACATGACATGATAAAGCTCTACACAGAGTGAAACATGACATGATAAAGCTCTATACAGAGTGAAACATGACATGATAAAGCTCTATACAGAGTGAAACATGACATGATAAAGCTCTATACAGAGCGAAACATGCCGTGATAAAGCTCTACACAGAGTGAAACATGACATGATAAAGCTCTACACAGAGCGAAACATGCCGTGATAAAGCTCTACACAGAGTGAAACATGACATGATAAAGCTCTACACAGAGCGAAACATGACATGATAAAGCTCTACACAGAGTGAAACATGACAAGATAAAGCTCTACACAGAGCGAAACATGACATGCTAAAGCTCTACACAGAGCGAAACATGCCGTGATAAAGCTCTACACAGAGTGAAACATGACAAGGTAAAGCTCTACACAGAGCGAAACGTGCCGTGATAAAGCTCTACACAGAGTGAAACATGACAAGATAAAGCTCTACACAGAGCGAAACATGCCGTGATAAAGCTCTACACAGAGTGAAACATGACAAGATAAAGCTCTAACAGAGCGAAACATGCCGTGATAAAGCTCTACACAGAGTGAAACATGACATGATAAAGCTCTACACAGAGCGAAACATGCCGTGATAAAGCTCTACACAGAGTGAAACATGACAAGATAAAGCTCTACACAGAGCGAAACATGAGATGATAAGGCTCTATACAGAATGAAACATGACATGATAAAGCTCTATACAGAATGAAACGTGACATGATAAAGCTCTACACAGAGTGAAACATGACATGATAAAGCTCTACACAGAGTGAAACATGCCATGATAAAGCTCTACAGAGAGTGAAACATGACATGATAAAGCTCTATACAGAGTGAAACATGACATGATAAAGCTCTACACAGAGTGAAACATGACATGATAAAGCTCTATACAGAGTGAAACATGACATGATTAAGCTCTACACAGAGTGAAACATTACATGATAAAGCTCTATACAGAGTGAAACATGACATGATAAAGCTCTACACAGAGTGAAACATGACATGATAAAGCTCTATACAGAATGAAACATGACATGATAAAGCTCTACACAGAGTGAAACATGACATGATAAAGCTCTATACAGAGTGAAACATGACATGATAAAGCTCTACACAGAGTGAAACATGACATGATAAAGCTCTATACAGAATGAAACATGACATGATAAAGCTCTACACAGAGTGAAACATGACATGATAAAGCTCTATACAGAGTGAAACTGACATGATAAAGCTCTACACAAGTGAAACATTACATGATAAAGCTCTATACAGAGTGAAACATGACATGATAAAGCTCTATACAGAATGAAACATGACATGATAAAGCTCTATACAGAGTGAAACATGACATGATAAAGCTCTATACAGAATGAAACATGACATGATAAGCTCTAACAGAGTGAACATGACATGATAAAGCTTACACAGAATGAAACATGACATGATAAGCTCTATCAGAATGAAACATGACATGATAAGCTCTATACAGAGTGAACATGACATGATAAGCTCTACAAAGAGTGAACATTAATGATAAAGCTCTATACAGAGTGAGCATGACATGATAAGCTCTACACAATGGAACATGACATGATAAAGCTCTATGGCAGAGTGAAACATGACATGATAAAGCTCTTAACAGAGTGAAACATGACATGATAAGCTCTACACAGAGTGAAACTTACATGATAAAGCTCTATACAGAGTGAAACATGACATGATAAAGCTCTACAAAGAGTGAAACATGACATGATAAAGCTCTATGCAGAGTGAAACATGACATGATAAAGCTCTATACAGAGTGAAATATGACATGATAAAGCTCTATACAGAGTGAAACGTTGTCCCACGTTCAAAGAAAAAAAATATGATAAACCCGAGTGGGTGATGTAGCGCAAAGATTGACGGAGGCTCGACCCTCCGGTCGCCTGCGTAGTCATACTGGCGGTTATATAGACGGCATCAGTTGCAACAGAACACGTGAGGTGACTTCAGGAAGCATGGTGCTGGTGTTCAGTGTGTGTTCTGCAGGTCAGCGTGGGTCAGGGGTGAGAGTGGGAGTGTGTGAGGGAGGATGTAGTCACATTGGGTTAAGGGCGTGGGGTTAAGGCGTGGTGATTAAGTCGTGGTGTTAGGGCGTGGTGGGTTAGGGCTGGGATTAAAGGCGTGGTAGTGAGGTGTGGGTGGTCAGAAGAAGGTGGTAGCAGGGAGTCGAAAGATTTAAATGAATATCAGCAGTCATCTACAGGCAATTGCTCATTGGTGTATTCACTCAAAACATCCGTCGAGTAGACGTTGCGGTCCTAGCACCTTGCAGTTAACATCCCAGGTCCGGAACATCACCAATACAAGTCGATGGCAAAGGTGAACTTCCCCAAGAAGAAGGAGAGAAACCTAGACAAAATGACGTCTACATTAGGGTGCTGATATAGACGTTAGTTAGGTGAGGCAAAGGTGTCTTAAGTGTATGGCATCATGTCCAGTTCCCTGCCGAAAAACGGATTTTTTTTGTGTGTGCTGTAAACCCGCTCCTCCAGGAGGTACCGAGAGTGGCCTCACTTACTCCCTTCACCTCCACCGTTAAGATAATACATGCTCTTTTGGCCTCAGTTTTCTTCCCTCCTCCCTGACGTAACTCTACTGTACCATTATCTTCGTAATAAGCCTCAGTAGCATTATACACGCTGGTAAACATTTTTATTATTTTTGTATTACATCTCATTGGTTTTCAAATTACCTTTTTTTTATAAGGAGATGGATGCATATACTTATGTGTGCAGTGCGTCAGTACATTAATTTAAAAAGAGAGATTTTAATGAGAGTCGATGAAATCTGGGACAAAGTCGTGAAAAATGTTTACCAATTTGCGTCTAGCGGAAGGCTGGGAAACTTTTGCGTCATTTAGCATCTAAGATGTAGTAATGCATCGTGAATGGCCCTGTGGCTGCGGGCCCTTGATGCAGTGCCTCTGGCTGGAGCGTGGTTGATTACTATCTGGCAGTCAGGGTGCCCTTGGGCCCTGTGGCTAGGGCGCGGCAGGTCACAGAGGAGGCTGGTGTCTTCGTTTCCCTGCACCACGATGGTGAGGCTCTGCTCGTAACTCTTGGAATAAGTTGGGGATCCAGTAATGCCACCTACGTACGCCATTCTAACCCGACCCGAACACAGAGGAAGCTGTGCATCTGTCCACCACCTCAACGGCAGACGGAAGCTTAAAGTCTATCGACTACACTCTCGTGTAGTCGATAGACTTCAAGCTCCTATTAACCAACCAACTTGACTTTGACATCAAAGTCATTAGTAGAAAAAGTTCTATTTCTAACGATTGTTATCAAATAAGTTCACGTTTAAGTTTCTTAAGACACAAATCACTGTATTGATTAATTTCTTTACAATAACTGAGTAAAATATTATATGTCCATTGCTTAATATAACATTATGATACACCGAATTAAAAGGCTTCCATACAACTGTTTCTTAAGATAAACATCTCTAAACGGAATAATAAGATCAAGTAATAATTTGCTACTCTTGTACCGATTAATAATTTAAATAATCATTAATCACAGTTAGCTTCGTCTTTTTCTTAACCTCATCTGTAAAAATTCCTCTAACATCAACACACACCTTTTTTCCAGCCTCAAATATCCGAAAATAAATGTTTATTGAAACCTAAAAAGCCGTCGGGTGCCAGGCGGCTGAGCCAGGCTCGTGACAAACCATTGAAACATGTTTCTTTTGATTATCAGATTACCATTCCATTTAAATGGTTATAATAATAACCACATTTTTTAAAGAGGTGGAGGGATAAGCCAGCGGAAGGCCTCGGTCAGATGACCAAAAGCTCCAACAGCGGGTCATCATCTAAGACCCGCATCAGAAACCACTTGTCCTGTTTCCTGACAAACTTTACCTAACCTAACCTACGTCAACACTGTAGTAGGATTTTTTTTCTCTCAATGAGCCGTTGTTACGTCAATCTTAAAGTTAATTAATTACACTCTTGTAAAATAGACTGGTAGCCTGACAGCCAAGGTATATTTTCTAGCCAGACTTATCCTAGCTAGACTTATCCTAGCCAGACTTATCCTAGCCAGACTTATCCTAGCCAGACTTATCCTAGCCAGACTTATCCTAGCCAGATTTATCCTAACCAGACTTATCCTAGAAGAGTAAAGCTACTTAGGTCTCATTGATGTGAGTAAATGGCTTTCTGAATTAATTTGTACCAAATGTTCGTTTTTAAATAATATAAATGAACATTTTTTAAATCAATGTCAAATGCAAGATGCGGGCAGCACGAGAAAATAAATTTGAAAAACCAGTCCTAAAAACAATCCCAGGACATCGTGGTGTTGCAAAAGGCTGCGGACACGAGCTACAAGAACATTTTGATTGTGAAATGGCCGCAATGCAAAGAAAATCAGTTACATCAAAATTAAACAATGTGAAGGCCGGAGGTGGAGTTTCAGAGAGAGAGGACGCTGAGGGACGGGTATACTGTATATATACAGCGAGCCACTAACCTCAGTCATCAGTCTGGCTCCAACCTCTCACATACACATCATGAGGACTCTGGTAAGTTGTGCCCCCTTAGAGTAAATTCACATCAGCAATATTATCTTCAGTCAATTCACAGTTACAGCTTATACTATCAGTCAGTCAACAGTTATATCTTACACTGTCATTTATTTCACAGTTGCAATTTACAATATTACTTGCTGCTCCTACAAACGCCACGAGATAAAAATCATATTACAAACCCAGTGCTGGAACTTTAATTCTAGCAGACATTCTCACGACACTGAAGATTTACGTCAATAAGGTTCATTATTTTTAAAACTTAGTCATAACACTGGCACATCCGACTTTCAACTAGAAGGTTGAAAAGGGTATTGACTACTTTATGTTTCTAAAGAGATTTGCATTTAGGCCAAGCTTTAAGACTTCGTTGTCTGATCCGTCACATTCATGTTGCTCTTCGCGTTGCAGGTTGTTTTGGCAGTGATAGGCGTGTGTTCGGGCGGCTATCAGGCCTACAACCCTGGCTATGGCTACGGCGTTCAGCCCAAGTATGTGGGACCCGTGGCTTCCGTCATCCCCGCTGGTGTGGACGGTAAGATCATCCCCGTCTCAGACACCTACGAAGTCGCTGCTGCTAAAGATGCCTTCTTCAAGGCCTACAACGACCAGCTGGATGTTATCAAGTCTCGTCGTTATGGCACCCCCGGCTACGCCTCAGCTCTCCCTGTCTATAAAGCTTCTGTTGCCCCCGCCTTCGCCTCGCCTCCGGCGGCGCCTACGGTGCCCCCGCAGTGACTTACGGTGCACCAGCCGGGTCCTACAAAAATTTCGCCTACCACGGTCCTCCCACTCAGGTCCCCGACACTCCCGAGGTGTCGGCCGCAAAGCATGAGTTCTTCAAGCTCTACAACAAGCAAGCGGCAGCCGCAGCCGCAGCCCCAGACCTCTACACTTACCACTGACCCTCACTATTACATCTTAACTCGCTTGTTTCTGCTATTATGTGCCCAATTTCGCTTTAAAATGTATCAAGAATCTGAAAACTATTAAAAATAACAGAATCCAAGTTAACTGCATTATTTCAGCAATAAAATGGAGAAAATTTATTCCTGCCGGAATTTATTTAATTTTAAGGTTACATTTAAGACTGCAAATAAGCGAGAGGAAAAAAAACTCGTAAAAATTTTTAATGTGACTATCGACTGTGTTTATCACATTTGCTGTAAATAGTGAATATATACTGTACAGTGACATACCTAGAGTATATCTGGAGAGGAATTCGGGGGTCAACGCCCCCGCAGCCCGGTCTGAGACCAGGCCTCGTCATGAGGCCTGGTCATGGACCAAGCTGTGGGGGCGTTGACCCCCAAAACATCCTCCAGGTATATACCTGGCAAATACGGAAGGATGTCGAGGCGAGGTTGAAACAACACAAATATTGAACAACTAAAGTATAATGAACACTTGTCAATGTTCAATAATAAAATCCACTTTGAGACAGACACACAGGAGATTGATTGTTCTGTGTATTTCAACGATCTTCTGTTGAAGAGGATCCCAGAAGCCAGTTAAAATATACAGGTGAATTAATCTCCTGGGTTTGTGTCTCCATGTGGGTTATTACTGAGCAACGTAAACATTCTATAAGAGACGGACACGAGTTCACCTCTGTTGTCTCATATTAAAACGACAAGTCACCTGGTAGACTAAAAACATGCAATTAAAGCAAGTCACCTGGTAGACTAAGAACTTGCTATTAAAACGACAAGTCAAATGGAGACTAAGAACATGATTAAATACAATTATTTTATTTATTTATTTATTTATTTATTTTTGATGAAGGTAACATTTTGGAATCGTGTTAAAATATACCATTAATATATACCGCCATCCTGGATATTTTCACATGAAACATCTTCTGGTTACATAAGTATACTGAGGTGGACTTACTGGCCTCTTCTGGGTAGGTCTTAACCATTTTCCAGTCAGTTCCTGCCACCTGTCGTTACGCAAAGTTAGATCTCCATACAGACGTTACTTGATGATGGTTGTTCTCTTGTATTATATCAACAAGTATATTTATTTAAGATATACTCAGTGCATTTTGAAATATATATAAAAATTTTCTACCAATAAGTCTCAGACTCTTCCTTGTTTAATCTGTTTTTTTCTTTTCTAAACTGCGTTTGTTACTCTTCATTTTCTGCAGTTTTACGATGTGTGTGTGTGTGCAGCGTACAATAAGAGTCGACCATCATGTTGACTCTCCATCTACCTTGGTACCTTCTCTCCATCTTCTTTATATCCTGACGTAATCTTCCTCTTTACTCAGAGTTCCCAGATCTTCCGGTAAGTAGTCCAAATGAGCGTCCAAGAATTTGTGTATCTCATATCACCTCCTAACGTCTTCAGCTTCTCCAGCATCCTCTTCACCTAAGAACTCCTTTTATGTGACATATTTGAAGACAATCCATGCCTCTCTTTTTCAATATCAAGAGTTTTCAAAATTCTCATCCTGGGGAAGTTTCCTTATATCTGGCGCGACAGATATGACTTTTGGAAGCTTATGGGAGAATTTTCAAGGTTTTCAGGTGGAATTTGCACTGGTATGTCTGGTCATGAGCAACAGATCGTAGGTCAGTTGGAAGGTTTGGATACAAAAATCACTCTTTTTGTATTTTTGTGTTGTACCCTTCGACATTACAGGAGGAAAAGTTGCAGTAATCACTGAGATTTTTGTGGGGGGTCCTTTCTGTTTATTTTAAAACCATAATGAAAAAAATTTCGTACCTTTCGTCCACTGCGTTAGTTCTTCACATAAAATATTACAGACACTGTCTGTAGTGTTAACACAGCCTCGAGTAGCCATCGTCACAACAGCCACGGCTCTTCGGAAACAATGAAAATTATAATAAACACCTGTATTAAAATAATACGCAAAATACAATACACGTCAGTACAGTGAAGAGACATGACAACAAGAGTCATCTTACAGCCTCCACTTGTGTCCTGTAGCACCTCCCTCTCTCCCTCAGTCCCAGGCTCCACCAGTGGCCTGTAACACCTCCCTCTCTCCCTCAGTCCCAGCCTCCACTAGTGGCCTATAACACCTCCCTCTCTCACTCTGTCCCAGCCTCCACCAGTGGCCTATAACACCTCCCTCTCTCCCTCAGTCCCAGCCTCCACTAGTGGCCTGTAACACCTCCCTCTCTCCCTCAGTCCCAGCCTCCACTAGTGGCCTGTAACACCTCCCTCTCTCCCTCTATCATCCAGCCTCCACTATGGCCTTATACAACCTCCCTCTCTCCGAATCAGTCCCAGCTCCACAATGGCCTGTCACCTCCTCTCTCCCTCAGTCCCAGCCTCCAGTAGTTGGCCTGTAACAACTCCCTCTCTCACTCAGATCCAGCTCCACTAGTGGCCTGTAACACTTTCCCTCTCTCCCCACAGTCCAGCCTCTACTAGGCCTGTAACACTCCCTCTCTCACTCAGTCCCAGCCTCCACTATGGCCTGTAAACCTCCACTACTCAATCAGTCAAGCCTCCACTAGTGGCCTGAAACACCTCCCTCTCTCAGTCCCAGCCTCTACTAGTGCTGTAACACCTTCACTCTCGTTCAGTCCCACCTCCACTTGTGGCCTGTAACACCTCCCTCTCTCCTTCGTCCCACCTCAAAAACTAGTGCCTGTAACCCTCCACTCTCTCCCTTCATCCAGCCTCCCTATGGACCTGTAACACCCCCTCTCTCACTCAGTCCCGAGCCTCCACTAGTCCTGAACACCTCTCCTCTCTCCCAAGTCCCACGTCCTACTAGTGGCTGTAAAACTCCCTCTCATCAGTCCTCAGCCTCACTAGGCCTGTAACACCTCCCTCTCTCACTCAGTCCCAGCTCCACAGTGGCCTGTAACACCTCCCTCTCTCCCTCAGTCCCAGCCTCCACTAGTGGCCTGTAACACCTCCCTCTCTCACGTCCCCAGCTCCCTAGTGCCTGTAAACACTCCCTCTCTCATCCAGTCCCAGCCTCCACTAGTGGCCTGTAGCACCTCCCTCTCCTCCTCAGTCCCAGCCTCCACTATGGCCTGTAACACCTCCCTCTCTCCTCAGTCCCAGCCTCACACTAGTGGCCTGTAACACACTCCTCTCTCCCTCAGTCCCAGCCTCACTAGTGGCCTGTACACCTCCCTCTCTCCTCAGTCCCAGCCTCCACTAGTGGCCTGTAACACCTCCCTCTCTCCCTCAGTCCCAGCCCTCCACTAGTGGCCTGTAAACACCTCCCTCCTCTCCCTCAGTCCCAGCCTCCACTAGTGGCCTGTAACACCTCCCTCTCTCACTCAGTCCCAGCCTCCACTAGTGGCCTGTAACACCTCCCTCTCTCACTCAGTCCCAGCCTCCACTAGTGGCCTGTAACACCTCCCTCTCTCAGTCCCAGCCTCCACTAGGGCCTGTAACACCTGTCTCTCTCCTTCAGTCCCAGCCTCCACTAGGGCCTGTAACACCTCCCTCTCTCCCTCAGTCCCAGCCTCAACTAGGGCCTGTAACACCTCCCTCTCTCCCTCAGTCCCAGCCTCCACTAATGGCCTGTAACACCTCCCTCTCTCACTCAGTCCCAGCCTCCACTAGTGGCCTGTAACACCTCCCTCTCTCCCTCAGTCCCAGTCTCCACAGTGCCTTAACACTCCCTCTCTCAGTCCCAGCCTCCACTAGGGCCTGTAACACCTGTCTCTCTCCCTCAGACCCAGCCTCCACTAGGGCCTGTAACACCTCCCTCTCTCATTCAGTCCCAGCCTCAACTAGGGCCTGTAACACCTCCCTCTCTCACTCAGTCCCAGCCTCCACTAGTGGCCTGTAACACCTCCCTCTCTCCCTCAGTCCCAGCCTCCACTAGTGGCCTGTAACACCTCCCTCTCTGAGTCCCAGCCTCCGCTAGTGCCCTGTAACATCTCCCTCTCTCAGTCCCAGCCTCCACTAGTGGCCTGTAGCACCTCCCTCTCTCCCTCAGTCCCAGCCTCCACTAGTGGCCTGTAACAACCTCCCTCTCCTCCCTCAGCCCCAAGCCTCAACTAGGGGCCTGTAACACCTCCCTCTCTCCCTCAGTCCCAGCCTCTACTAGGGCCTGTAACACCTCCCTCTCTCCCTCAGTCCCAGCCTCCACTAGGGCCTGTAACACCTCCCTCTCTCCCTCATCCCACCTCCACTAGTGGCTTTGTAACACCTCCCTCTCTCCCTCAGTCCCACCTCCACTATGCCTGTAAAAACCCCCCCTTTCTCTCCCTCAGTCCCAGCCTCCACTAGTGGCCTGTAACACCTCCCTCTCTCATCCCAGCCTCCACTAGGGCCTGTAACCCCTTTCCCTCCTAAAGTCCCAGCCCCCACTAGGGCCTGTAACACCTCCTCTCTCCTCAGTCCCAGCCCCCAACTAGGCCTGTAACACCCCCTCTCTCCCTCATCCAGCCCCCAACAAAGGCCTGTAACACCTCCCTCTCTCCCTCAGCCCAGCCTCCACTAGGGCCTGTAACACCTCCCTCTCTCCCTCATCCCAGCCTCCACTAGTGGCCTGTAACACCTCCCTCTCTAGTCCCAGCCTCCCTAGTGGCCAAAAAACACCTCCCTCCCCTCAGTCCAGCCTCCACTAGGGCCTGTAACACCCCCCTCTCTCCCTCAGCCCAGCCTCCACTAGGGCCTGTAACACCTCCCTCTCCCCCTTCAGTCCCAGCCCCCACTAGGGCCTGTAACACCTCCCTCTCTCCCCGCCCCAGCCCCCACTAGGGCCTTAACACCTCCCTCTCCCTCAGTCCCAGCCTCCACTAGGGCCTTAACACCCCCCTCTCTAGTCCCAACCTCCTAGGGCCTGTAACACCTCCTCTCTCAGTCCCACCTCCACTAGTGGCCTGAAACACCTCCCTCTCTCCTCAGTCCCCAGCCTCCACTAGTGGCCCTGTAACACCCTCCCTCTCTCCCTCGTCCCACCCCCAACTAGGGCCTGTAAAAACCTCCCCTTCCCCATCCACCCAAACAAAGGCTGTAACACCTCCCTCTCTCCTCAGTCCCAGCCTCCACTAAGTGCCTGTAAACCCTCCCCTCTCCTCAGTCCCAGCCTCCCTGTGCTTACCCCTCCCTTCTCCCCCTCAGCCCCAGCTCCACTAGGGCCTGTAAAACCTTCCCTCTCCCCCTAAAGGGCCTTTCACCTCCCCCCTAGTGCCTAGGGGCTGTAACACCTGCCTCTCCCTCAGTCCCAGCCTCCACTAGGGCCTGTAACAACCTCCCCCTCTCCCCAATCCCACCTCAACTAGGGCCTGTAACACCTCCCTCTCATCCCTCAGTCCAGCCCCCACTAGGCCTGTAACACCTCCCTCTCCCCATCCCAGCCCCCACAGTGGCCTGTAACACCCCCTCTCTCCCTCAGCCCGCCTCCACTAGTGGCCTGTAACACCCCTCCTACCCCCTCCCCCCATCATTCCCAGCCCCCTCCACTAGTGGCCTGTAACACCTCCCTCTCTCCCTCAGTCCCACCTCCACTAGTGGCCTGTAACACCTCCTCTCTTCCCTCAGTCCCAAGCCTCCACTAGGGCCTGTAACACCTCCCCTCTCCCTCAGTCCCAGCCCCCACTGGGCCTGTAACACCTCCCTCTCTCCCTCAGTCCCAGCCTCCCTAGGCCCTGTAAAAACCTCCCTCTCTCCCTCAGCCCAGCCTCACTGGGGCCCCGTAACACCTCCCTCTCTCCCCAGTCCATCCCACTAGTGGCCTGTAACACCTCCCTCTCTCCCTCAGTCCCAGCCTCCACTAGGGCCTGTAACACCTCCCTCTCTCCCTCAGTCCCAGCCTCCACTAGGGCCTGTAACACCTCCCTCTCTCCTCAGTCCCCAGCCTCCACAGGGCCTGTAAACCTCCCTCTCTCCCTCAGTCCCACCTCCACTAGTGGCCTGTAACACCTCCCTCTCTAACTCAGTCCCAGCCTCCACTAGTGGCCTGTAACACCTCCCTCTCTCACTCAGTCCCAGCCTCCACTAGTGGCCTGTAACACCTCCCTCTCTCCCTCAGTCCCAGCCTCCACTAGTGGCCTGTAACACCTCCCTCTCTCCCTCAGTCCCAGCCTCCACTAGTGGCCTGTAACACCTCCCTCTCTCCCTCAGTCCCAGCCTCCACTAGTGGCCTGTAACACCTCCCTCTCTCAGTCCCAGCCTCCACTAGGGCCTGTAACACCTCCCTCTCTCACTCAGTCCCAGCCTCCACTAGGGCCTGTAACACCTCCCTCTCTCACTCAGTCCCAGCCTCCACTAGTGGCCTGTAACACCTCCCTCTCTCACTCAGTCCCAGCCTCCACTAGGGCCTGTAACACCTCCCTCTCTCACTCAGTCCCAGCCTCCACTAGGCCTTAACACCTCCCTCTCCCCTCAGTCCACCTCCCTAGTGCCTGTAACACCTCCCTCTCTCACTCAGTCCCAGCCTCCACCAGTGCCCTGTAACACCTCCCTCTCTCCCTCAGTCCCAGCCTCCACTAGGGCCTGTAACACCTCCCTCTCTCCCTCAGTCCCAGCCTCCACTAGTGGCCTGTAGCACCTCCCTCCCCCCCCATCACACCCTCCTTCCCTGCCACCCACATTCACGTTAACACTGTCATATGACAGGAGATAGTGACACAATCATTTTGTAAGCGACTGAACAATCTGTTCATGATACATAAATCTAAAAATCGTTTATGAAATCAGTGCATCTACATTGATAACAAAAATCAGATAACAAATGTTATCAAAGATTTTTAGGCCTCTGACCGGATTTACTGATTTATTTATTTTAACTTAAATATATATTTTTAAGTGTCCAATATAAAATGTACATTTTTTTTAATAATGGAAGAATTTCAAGAAAATTTACATTTATAAAGTAGAAGTATCAACATATTTCTTTATTGTGTTTACATTATTCTCTGGAACACAAGATATGTTGGTGGTAATTATAAAATATCTGTCAACAAAACGCTTTCATTGTTCTTTTATCCATGAACTTTTAATAACAAATACGTAGTACTCGCAGGAACGTGGGAAAGAACACCCAGTGTTCTTTCTCACGTTGAACCTATTCGCCACTCGGGGTGAAACGTTTCGCCCCTCGGGGTGAAACGTTTTCTCTAATGTCCTGAATTATACATAAGTGTCTTAATCCACAGTGATCCTCTTGTCTTGTAAATTGATCAGTGTAATACCAGTGTGTGTATATATGTAACATATATACAGCGTTTATGCACTGAAATATGTGTATATCTTAATGCATATACACTATATTGCCCTGCTTTAGGAATTTATATGAATTACAGACTTAATGGTAGATCTACTAGCAGAGGAAGAGTTTGGAGCGTTCAGCCATGATAACAAATCTTATCCTGTGCGAACAGAGGAGAGTGTGGTAAACCGTCGAAACAGAGGAGGGTAGAGTGGAACGATGCTAACAGCTGAGAAGATCAACCAGCAAGGCTAAAAGAATCAGTTACATCAAAATTAAACAATGTGAAGGCCGCAGGTGGAAAGCCAAGAGAGAGAGAGAGAGAGAGAGAGAGAGAGAGCAGTGAGAGACGGGTATATATACAGCAAGGCAGTAACCTCAGTCAGCAGTCTGGCTCCAACCTCACGTAAACACATCATGAGGACTCTGGTAAGTTGTCCTCTTTGAGTAAATATACACCTGATATGTTTACCTAAATCAATCCACAGTTAAAGCAGCTTACACACTTAGTTGTAATCTCTTTAACCTCGATGATGTAAAAGCACTTCACAGCGAGTAACTACACTAGCACAGTGCTGGACTGTTACTGCTGACAAATATTTACAATGGTGAAGATTTTTCTGTATTGATGCATTCTCCTTTTTAAACACTTAATTCATGTCATTCGCTCATTTAATTTTATTTTTTTTACGTGAAAGTTCAAAACAATAAGCTTGCTGTTTAATTTGTTTTCGAAACTGATTTGTAATTTATGAAAATTTATATGCGGACTTATCCCGCTGTACGTTCTCCAGGTTGTTTTGGCAGTGATAGGCGTGTGTTCGGGCGGCTATCAGGCCTACAACCCTGGCTATGGCTACGACGTTCAGCCCAAGTATGTGGGACCCGTGGCTTCCGTCATCCCCGCTGGTGTGGACGGTAAGATCATCCCCGTCTCAGACACCTACGAAGTCGCTGCTGCTAAAGATGCCTTCTTCAAGGCCTACAACGACCAGCTGGATGTTATCAAGTCTCGTCGTTATGGCACCCCCGGCTACGCCTCAGCTCTCCCTGTCTATAAAGCTTCTGTTGCCCCCGCCTTCATCTCCGGCGGCGCCTACGGTGCCCCCGCAGTGACTTACGGTGCACCAGCCGGGTCCTACAAAAATTTCGCCTACCACGGTCCTCCCACTCAGGTCCCCGACACTCCCGAGGTGTCGGCCGCCAAGCATGAGTTCTTCAAGCTCTACGACAAGCAAGCAGCAGCCGCAGCCGCAGCCCCAGACCTCTACACCTACCACTGAGACCCACAAACCCACCTACCACTGACCCCCACCATCATCACAACTACATCTACATGGAAACACTTCATTACTCATATTGCCACTGCATTAGAGCTTTGAAATGTGTAAAGAACCAGAAAAGCATTTAAAAATAAAACAGAACCCACCTAAGCGTTTTATATTCACAATGAATAAAAAGATAAATTTTTAATACCTCCGAGAGTTCTTCAAGTTCTTGCATATGAAGGTTAAATTTGATAATGAGATCAAGTGAAAAATACAAATATAATACCTCTCTAAAAGTCACTGTGATCTGTGTTTATATTAACCGGGAATCAGGTTGAAATGGCGAGAGTAAAAAAATAAAAAGTCGCTGGTTAAAAGGGCACTTTAAAAGGACACAGGTATAAATGGCATATGTGAAAAGTTGGGAAAAGTAATGACACACTGAACCCAATGTAACCTAACCTATCCTAGCCTAACGTAGTTTAAACTAAGCTAAGCTAACATAGCTTTATTTATGTGTCGCAATGAGAGACAATGTGATATAAACCTTGATAACTGATATCAACAAATGGTCTAAAATGATGCGTGAACAAACGCTATAGAAGAGAGAAAAAGAAAAAAAATATCTTGGAGAGTTGAAGAGTTTGTGGTAAGGAAGGTTTATGAACAGAAACAAAAAAAAAGGGAATGTTCTATAAGATATTTGTGCCAGACTTTCTATGGGTGTGAGGCATGTTTTTTTAAGGTTGCAGCGAGGAGGAGGAGGAGGAGGAAAAGAAGGAGGAGGAGAAGAAGGAGGAGGCTGAAGACAAGCGAGATGCCACGTTTATAAGCAATGCTGTGATTAAGAAGCATGAACATTCGAATATGATGTGTGTGGGATTATGAGAGGTATAAACCAGGGAGCGGAAGAGGGGTATTAAGATTGTGTTTTTATCGCTTATATAAGTTAAAGCAGGAGAGGTTGACCAAGAGGGAACATGTAAGAGATAAATATACAAATAACCCGCACATAGGAAACAGGAGCCTAGGACGACGTTTCGGTCGGACTTGGACTATTTACAAAGTCGTTGTAAGCTTTTCTCTCCTGTGTGTGGGTTATTTGTGTATTGTTCCAGTCACAATATTGTGCCGTTTTGTTCTTAAAAAATAAATATTAGATAACGCAGGAATGGTTCGAATGAGTGAGTGAAAAAATAAGGGTTTTACAAGGTAGGGGCTTGAGCATCCATCCAGCAGACTTCTGTTTACATGTAAAATCTGCGTGGATGTCTACAGTTTTCGGAGTACAATTATATTGTTACATCGATAATAGAAGCGAATGCTATGTTTTGAGCATTCACAGAGACGTTCAAGAAATGTTTTGTTCACAGAGACACATTCAAGAGATGTTTTGATCACTCACAGAGACACACCCAAGAGATGTTTTGGACGATGAGATAACAATAAAAGTTTATAATTTGTACAGATGTGACAGAATTAATAGATCACAGTGAGGAGCACAAAACTGTTGAATTTATTCAATAATACAATAGATATTCAAGGTATTAAAGTAAAGAAAATGTAAATCTGGTAATTATCCTCGTATATAAACCACTTTTAACAACGGCTGAGGAATTCACACATCAGATAAGGAAGATAAATAGCTGTCTTGAGAGGCTTGAAAAATCCCACACTAAATAATATTGTCCTTGGAGATTTCAATCGCCAAAAATGTTAAGTGGAAAATTGTTCGTCACAGCATTGTACCAGAAGTTCCTGTAAACACAGCTGCTCAACAGGTAGACAACGGAGAATAACGGGACTTTCTGAAATGTTTGCGTTGGACCAACAGATAACAGATTCTACTAGAAATAAGAATACACTGAATATATTTTCACAAACAACGGGAAACTAAACGATTTACTCTGATCATAACATCACAGAATGCAAATGAGCATAAACTCAGTGGGATGGGGAACTTTAGTAATATTGTACTAGTCGGGAGGTCCAGTGAATTTAGCTCCACCAATCAGAAAACTATCAGACAAAATTAACCAAGAACTATCAGATATCCCGGGACTCACGAAATCGTTATGACACGATTTCAAATAAACCATACCACGGGCGGAGATAAAACCCGCGATCAGAGAATTATAAAACTCCAGACCGACGCGTTAGTCACTGGACCAGCTGGCTACAATAAGATTCATCCAATATACCATCAAAATATACCTAGTTGGATGAATCTTACTGTAGCCAGCTGGCCCAGTAGCTAACGCGTCGGTTTGAAGTTTCATGACCGACCGCGGGTTTTATCCTCGCCCGTGGTATGGTTTATAACCCGGGGAACAGTCATGAGCACCCTAAATCCTTACCAATTCCCAAAAAAAGCTGAACACAGAAGCGTGCAAGTTCTGCATTAAATACATATCATTTAGAGAAGCTAGAAGATCAAACACAGAAAGAGAGCGTAGAAGAATGTACAGAAGAAAAAAATGGGTTACGAAATTACTTAAAAAGCATAAATATGTCTCAACGAAGGAAAGATCATCTTATCCGATAGATCACTGAGACAGAACAAAAACTTAAGTTGTGTACCGGATAATAGAAACACAAAGGAAACAAAAAAGCCGTAGAGGATATTGCAAGAAACCCCAAAGATTTTTATACATAGGCAAAAATCCAAGCTAAGACCTTCCTGTAGAATTGGACTAATAATAACAGGAAGTTCGTACAGAGACGATGAACAAGAAATGAGCGAAATCCTAAAAGACCAACATGAGTCGATGTTCAGACACCCACTAAACGAAAGCAGTGTGGAGAATGCAGAAACGTTTTCTCTTTTCGTCTGAAGTTCGTGCAAACCCAGACAACTGACATTGGCACTCGTCCCATGGAATGCGAATCCGGTCTAGATGCTTATTCAGCACCTAAACCGGATTCGTAGAATTTCTTATTTGTATAAAAGGGTGTACTACCATTAGCAGGAGCATTCAGTATCCTCTGGAGAAAGAGCTTAGACTTAGGTGAAATACTTGGGGTTTTAAAGAGTATGGATACAGCTCCTCTGCACAGGGGAGACAGTAGAGCGCCAACCAAAAATTACAGACCAGAAGCCCTAACATCATAAAAGTCATTGAAAGAGTGATGAGACGTCACATTACAAAGTTTATATAACAGCACAACGAGTTTATGTTTTAGACAAATAGTTTAGAGAACCGACAAGATGATAAATTAGACAAATATTTAACACTTGGGTATCTTTATTGTGAAGATGTTTCGCCCCACAGTGGCTTCATCAGTCCAATACAAAGAAGAATAGTGAAGATCCCAACATGCTGGCGCCATTTTTGTCTTTAGGAAGGCGCCAGGAATAACAGAATGAAATCGGATATGCTGAAAAAAAAAGCCTAAATGACATAACCAGGTTTTTTAATTAGTACGAAGGTTGTGGAGTGATGTATTGTATATATAGTGTATTAGGTGTTCAAACCCAGTCATGAGTATTATTATTATTATTATTATTATTATTATTATTATTATTATTATTATTATTATTATTATTATATTATTATTATTATTATTATTATTGTTATCATCATCATCATCATCATCATCATCATCATCATCATCATCATCATCATCATCATCATCATCATCATCATCATAAAATTAAAAAAGCGCTGTACAAATAAGGGTTCATTAAAAAAAAGCTATCGAGTGTAGAGACAACAATCATCTTAAGAGATACAATCACGCATCACTTGCACTTATTAATGGCGCCGCACACTAAGAAGTTTAGATTTCTTGTCGCATTTTTTGCACGTTTTAATTGTTAAGAACGTTAATGTAACATGCACCAATACACGAGCACTGTTCCCATGACCCCAAGGCTGGGAGAACGTAGAACTGTAATGTAAACACTGTTCTCGTGACCCCCAAAGCCGGGAGAGCGTAGAGCTGTAGTGTAAACACTTCTCGTGACCCCCAAAGCCGGGAGAGCGTAGAGCTGTATTGTAAATACTTCTCGTGACCCCAAAACCGGGAGAGCGTAGAGCTGTAGTGCAAACACCTAACGCATGCGTTAGGTGCAAACACCTAACTCCGTGCATGACACACGGGAGGGTGAGTAAAAAAAAAATAGCATATTACGAATTTCACAAAACATTTTCTGGTGTTACGGTTGAGGGAGATGATGATGGCAAGGTCAGAGGAAGGTGTGAGGGCGTGTCTGGTGCACATATATAAACAGCGACCCACGAGCCTCACCCAGCAGAGTCTGGCTCCACCACACACACGCACACCATGAAGACCCTGGTGACTATTTCTTCTTCGTCTTCTCTCTTGCTGATGCGTTAGTGCACTGAACGCGCGATAATGACGAATTCTTGCTTCTCACTCATTAGTAAAAACAATTGTGTTGGTAAAATGTATCTGATTTTCTGGTGTTTATGTAATTTTCTTTGTCAGGAAGAATGAAAAAGGCACAAGACGGTGATCGGAAAAATATCCGCACGCGCTGGTTGTTTGTGTATTGTTTTCTTTGCCTGTACGTTATTAGATTTGTTATGATATAACTGTTTTTTTATGAGTCCAGTTATAGGGAGTCCAATTATGGGGAGTCCAATTATGGGGAGTCCAGTTATGGGGAGTCAGTTATAAGAAGTTCAGTTGCAGGGAGTCCAGTTATAGGGAGTCCAGTTATAGGGAGTCCAATCATGGGGAGTCCAATTATGGGGAGTCCAGTTATGGGGAGTCCAGTTATGGGGAGTCAGTTATAAGAAGTTCAGTTGCAGGGAGTCCAGTTATAGGGAGTCCAGTTATAGGGAGTCCAGTTATGGGGAGTCCAGTTATGGGAGTCCAGCTATGGGGTGTCCATTTATAAGAAGTTCAGTTACAGAGAGTCCAGTTATAGGCAGTCCAGTTATAGGGAGTCCAGTTATGGGGAGTCCAGTTATAGGGAGTCCAGTTATAAGAAGTTCAATTACAAAGAGTCCAGTTATAGGGAGTCAAGTTATAGGAAGTCCAGTTATGGGGAGTCCAGTTATAGGGAGTCCAGTTATAGGGAGTCCAGTTATAAGAAGTTCAATTACAAAGAGTCCAGTTATAGGGAGTCAAGTTATAGGAAGTCCAGTTATGGGGAGTCCAGTTATAGGGAGTCCAGTTATAGAGAGTCCAATTATAGGGAGTCCAGTTATAGGGAGTCCAGTTATAGAGAGTCCAGTTATAGAGAATCCAGTTATAGGGAGTCCAGTTATAGGGAGTCCAGTTATAGGGAGTCCAGTTATGAGGAGTCCAGTTATAGGGAGTCCAGTTATGGGTAGTTCAGTTATAGGGAGTCCAGTTATAGGAAGTCCAGTTATAGGGAATCCAGCTATGGGCAGTCCAGTTACAGGGAGTCCAGTTATGGGTAGTCCAGTTATAGGGAGCCCAGTTATAGGGAGTCCAGTTATAGGGAGTCTAGTTATAGGGAGTCCAGTTATAGGGAGTCCAGTTATGAGTAGTCCAGTTAAAGGGAGTCCAGTTGTAGGGAGTCCAGTTATAGGGAGTCCAGTTATAGGGAGTCCAGTTATAGGGAGTCCAGTTATAGGGAGTCCAGTTAAAGGGAGTTCAGTTATAGGGAGTCCAGTTATAGGGAGTCCAGTTATAGGGAGTCCAGTTATAGGGAGTCCAGTTATAGGGAGTCCAGTGATATGGAGTCCAGTTATAGGGAGTCCAGTTATAGGGAGTCCAGTTATAGGGAGTCCAGTTATAGGGAGTCCAGTTATAGGGAGTCCAGTTATAGGGAGTCCAGTTATAGGGAGTCCAGTTATAGGGAGTCCAGTTATAGGGAGTCCAGTTATAGGGAGTCCAGTTATAGGGAGTCCAGTTATAGGGAGTCCAGTTATAGGGAGTCCAGTTATAAGAATACAGTTTATTTGGTGGACTGTTATTTGCGTAACTGTTCGTATGAAATATGTGAAATATATTTTTTTTTTAAGTCTGTCATTGATAAACATTGTATTTCCTTGAATTTATAGGTTGTTTTGGCAGTGATAGGCGTGTGTTCGGGCGGCTATCAGGCCTACAACCCTGGCTATGGCTACGACGTTCAGCCCAAGTATGTGGGACCCGTGGCTTCCGTCATCCCCGCTGGTGTGGACGGTAAGATCATCCCCGTCTCAGACACCTACGAGGTCGCTGCTGCTAAAGATGCCTTCTTCAAGGCCTACAACGACCAGCTGGATGTTATCAAGTCTCGTCGTTATGGCACCCCCGGCTACGCCTCAGCTCTCCCTGTCTATAAAGCTTCTGTTGCCCCCGCCTTCATCTCCGGCGGCGCCTACGGTCCACCAGCAGTGTCCTACGGTGCACCAGCAGTGTCTTACGGTGCCCCGGCTGGGTTCTTCGGCACCTCAACCGGGACCTACGGCGCTCCCGGAGTGTCCTACGGTGGTCCTCCCGGCGCCTACAAGAACCCCGGCTACCACGGTCCTCCCACTCAGGTCCCCGACACTCCCGAGGTGTCCGCCGCCAAGCATGAGTTCTTCAAGCTCTACGCAAGCAACAGCAGCCTGCCGGCCGCCCCAGACCTCTACACCTACCACTGAGACCCACACTTCCACCTACCACTGATCCTTACCCATACATTCATCCACCACTGAACGTCCTCTATCTGTTACAGCCCCAATTAATATTTCCTTTCGAATACTGAAATTTTTTAAAAAAATAAAGCAACAAGACAGAAGTTCAGCCTATTATTATTGTTGCAAATTTAACCGAGAAAGTTTTCTGAATAAATAAAACTAAATAAAGCATAAGAAAAATATCATCTAAGGAGAGAGGTAACAAGGGCTTCAGGACCTTCATATTACCCTTCAGGGCCTTCATATTACCCTTCAGGGCCTTCATATTACCCTTCAGGGCCTTCATATTACCCTTCAGGACCTTCATATTACCCTTCAGGGCCTTCATATTACCCTTCAGGGCCTCATATTTACCCCTTCAGGGCCTTCATATTACACTTCAGGACCTTCATATTACCCTTCAGGGCCTTCATATTACCCTTCAGGGCCTTCATATTACCCTTCAGGGCCTTCATATTACCTTCAGGACCTTCATATTACCCTTCAGGGCCTTCATATTACCCTTCAGGGCCTTCATATTACTCTTCAGGGCCTTCATATTACTCTTCAGGGCCTTCATATTACCCTTCAGGGCCTTCATATTACTCTTCAGGGCTTCATTATTACTCTTCAGGGCCTTCATATTACCTTCAGGGCCTTCATATTACCCTTCAGGACCTTCATATTACCTTCAGGGCCTCATATTACCCTTCAGGGCCTTCATATTACTCTTCAGGGCCTTCATATTACTCTTCAGGGCCTTCATATTACCTTCAGGCCTTCATATTACCCTTCAGGACCTTCATATTACCCTTCAGGGCCTTCATATTACCCTTCAGGGCTTCATATTACCCTTCAGGGCCTTCATATTTACCCTTCAGGGCCTTCATATTACCCTTCAGGGCCTTCATATTACCCTTCAGGGCCTTCATATTACTCTTCAGGGCCTTCATATTACCCTTCAGGGCCTTCATATTACCCTTCAGGGCCTTCATATTACCCTTCAGTGCCTTCATATTACCCTTCAGGGACTTCATATTACCCTCAGGGCCTTATATTACCTTCAGGGCCTTCATATTACCCTTCAGGGCCTTCATATTACCCTTCAGGGCCTTCATATTACCTTCAGGGCCTTCATATTATCCCTTCAGGGCCTTCTATATTACCTTCAGGGCCTTCATATTACCCTTCAGGGCCTTCATATTACCCTTCAGGGCCTTCATATTACCCTTCAGAGCATTCATATTACCCTTCAGGGCCTTCATATTACCCTTCAGGGCCTTCATATTACCCTTCAGGGCCTTCATATTACCCTTCAGGGCCTTCATATTACCCTTCAGGGCCTTCATATTACCCTTCAGGGCCTTCATATTACCCTTCAGGGCCTTCATATTACCCTTCAGGGCCTTCATATTACCCTTCAGGGCCTTCATATTACCCTTCAGCCCTGCTAAAGCTACCCCAAATGAAAATAATAACAATAAAAAAACATTATTATTCTCTTCTCTCCTCATCTTCCCATTCTAATCATCTTTTCCCTCCTCCTTCTCCTCCTCCTCCTCCTCCTCTTCCTCCTCCACGCCATTAGTCACGTCTTGTCACGTTACACCGTGACACGTTGACAAACATTCTCGTGACTGAGTGACAACCGCCACGCCCTCTCTGAGAACAACAATCACATGGATACTTCCACCCTAAGTATGTCATATTTTGTGAGGCTGGCTTGTTATTGTGAGGCTGGCTTGTTATTGTGAGGCTGGCTTGTTATTGTGAGGCTGGCTTGTTATTGTGAGGCTGTCTTGTTATTGTGAGGCTGTCTTGTTATTGTGAGGCTGGCTTGTGATTGTGAGGCTAGCTTGTTATTGTGAAGCTGGCTTGTTATTGTGAGGCTGGCTTGCTATTGTGAGGCTGGCTTGTTATTGTGAGGCTGGCTTGTTATTGTGAGGCTGGCTTGTGATTGTGAGGCTAGCTTGTTATTGTGAAGCTGTCTTGTTATTGTGAGGCTGGCTTGTTATTGTGAGGCTGGCTTGTTATTGTGAGGCTGGCTTGTTATTGTGAGGCTGTCTTGTTATTGTGAGGCTGTCTTGTTATTGTGAGGCTGGCTTGTGATTGTGAGGCTAGCTTGTTATTGTGAAGCTGGCTTGTTATTGTGAGGCTGGCTTGTTATTGTGAGGCTGTCTTGTTATTGTGAGGCTGTCTTGTTATTGTGAGGCTGGCTTGTTATTGTGAAGCTGGCTTGTTATTGTGAGGCTGGCTTGTTATTGTGAAGCTGGCTTGTTATTGTGAGGTTGGCTTGTTATTGTGAAGCTTGCTTGTTATTGTGAAGCTGGCTTGTTATTGTGAAGCTGGCTTGTTATTGTGAGGCTGACTTGTTATTGTGAGGCTGGCTTGTTATTGTGAACCTGGCTTGTTATTGCGAAGCTGGCTTGTTATTGTGAGGCTGGCTTGTTATTGTGAGGCTCTCTTGTTATTATAAAGCTGGCTTGTTATTGTGAAGCTGGCTTGTTATTGTGAGGCTGGCTTGTTATTGTGAAGCTGGCTTGTTAATGTGAAGCTGGCTTGTTATTGTGAAGCTGGCTTGTTATTGTGAGGCTGGCTTGTTATTGTGAGGCTGGCTTGTTATTGTGAGGCTGGCTTGTTATTGTGAGGCTGGCTTGTTATTGTGAGGCTGGCTTGTTATTGTGAGGCTTGCTTGTTATTGTGAAGCTGGCTTGTTATTGTGAAGCTGGCTTGTTATTGTGAGGCTGGCTTGTTATTGTGAAGCTGGCTTGTTATTGTGAATCTGGCTTGTTATTGTGAGGCTGGCTTGTTATTGTGAGGCTGGCTTGTTATTGTGAACTGGCTTGTTATTGTGAGGCTGGCTTGTTTATTGTGAAGGCTGGCTTGTTATTGTGAGACTGGCTTGTTATTGTGAAGCTGGCTTGTTATTGTGAAGCTGGCTTGTTATTGTGAAGCTGGCTTGTTATTGTGAGGCTGGCTTGTTATTGTGAAGCTGGCTTGTTATTGTGAAGCTGGTTTGTTATTGTGAGGCTGGCTTGTTATTGTGAACCTGGCTTGTGATTGTGAGGCTGGCTTGTTACTGTGAAGCTGGCTTGTTACTGTGAAGCTGGCTTGTTATTGTGAGGCTGGCTTGTTATTGTGAAACCTGGCTTGTGATTGTGAGGCTGGCTTGTTACTGTGAAGCTGGCTTGTTACTGTGAAGCTGGCTTGTTATTGTGAGGCTGGCTTGTTATTGTGAAGCTGGCTTGTTATTGGAAGGCTGGCTTGTTATTGTGAGGCTAACTTGTTATTGTGAGCCTGGCTTGTTATTGTGAGACTGGCTTGTTATTGTGAAGCTGGCTTGTTATTGTGAGGCTGGCTTGTTATTGTGAGGCTGGCTTGTTATTGTGAACCTGGCTTGTTATTGTGAAGCTGGCTTGTTATTGTGAGGCTGGCTTGTTATTGTGAGGCTGGCTTGTTATTGTGAGGCTGGCTTGTGATTGTGAGGCTAGCTTGTTATTGTGAAGCTGGCTTGTTATTGTGAGGCTGGCTTGTTATTGTGAGGCTGACTTGTTATTGTGAGGCTGGCTTGTTATTGTGAACCTGGCTTGTTATTGTGAGGCTAGCTTGTTATTGTGAGGTGGTTTGTTTTGTGAACTGGCTTGTTATTGTGAGGCTGGCTTGTTATTGTGAGGCTGGCTTGTTATTGTGAGGCTGGCTTGTTATTGTAAATCTGGCTTGTGATTGTGAGGCTGGCTTGTGATTGTGAGGCTGACTTGTTATTGTGAAGCTGGCTTGTTATTGTGAGGCTGGCTTGTTATTGTGAAGCTGGCTTGTTATTGTGAGGCTGGCTTGTTATTGTGAAGCTGGCTTGTTATTGTGAAGCTGGCTTGTTATTGTGAGGCTGGCTTGTTATTGTGAGGCTGGCTTGTTATTGTGAGCCTGGTTTGTGTTTGTGAGGCTGGTTTGTTATTGTGAGGCTGGCTTGTTATTGTGAGGCTGGCTTGTTATTGTGAGGCTGGCTTGTTATTGTGAGCCTGGTTTGTGATTGTGAGGCTGGTTTGTTATTGTGAGGCTGGCTTGTGATTGTGAGGCTGGCTTGTTATTGTGAAGCTGGCTTATTATTGTGAGGCTGGCTTGTTATTGTGAAGCTGGCTTGTTATTGTGAAGCTGGCTTGTTATTGTGAGGCTGGCTTGTTATTGTGAACCTGGCTTGTGATTGTGAGGCTGGCTTGTTACTGTGAAGTTGGCTTGTTACTGTGAAGCTGGCTTGTTATTGTGAGGCTGGCTTGTTATTGTGAACCTGGCTTGTGATTGTGAGGCTGGCTTGTTACTGTGAAGCTGGCTTGTTACTGTGAAGCTGGCTTGTTATTGTGAGGCTGGCTTGTTATTGTGAAGCTGGCTTGTTATTGCGAGGCTGGCTTGTTATTGTGAGGCTCGCTTGTTATTGTGAGCCTGGCTTGTTATTGTGAGACTGGCTTGTTATTGTGAAGCTGGCTTGTTATTGTGAGGCTGGCTTGTTATTGTGAGGCTGGCTTTTTATTGTGAAGCTGGCTTGTTATTGTGAAGCTGGCTTGTTATTGTGAGGCTGGCTTGTTATTGTGAGGCTGGCTTGTTATTGTGAGGGTGGCTTGTGATTGTGAGGCTAGCTTGTTATTGTGAAGCTGGCTTGTTATTGTGAGGCTGGCTTGTTATTGTGAGGCTGACTTGTTATTGTGAGGCTGGCTTGTTATTGTGAACCTGGCTTGTTATTGTGAGGCTGGCTTGTTATTGTGAGGCTGGTTTGTTATTGTGAACCTGGCTTGTTATTGTGAGGCTGGCTTGTTATTGTGAGGATGGCTTGTTATTGTGAGGCTGGCTTGTTATTGTAAACCTGGCTTGTGATTGTGAGGCTGGCTTGTGATTGTGAGGCTGGCTTGTTATTGTGAGGCTGGCTTGTTATTGTGAAGCTGGCTTGTTATTGTGAGGCTGGCTTGTTATTGTGAAGCTGGCTTGTTATTGTGAAG